ATTCCGAGCCAAACGGATATGTCCAGTGTTTGTCTGCTATCAGGTCAAAGGTCAACCGCAAGGCGGAAAAACTACTCAGATATTCCAGTCCATTCGTATCCATTCGAATGGCTCCGAATGAGAGTTTCCCCCTTGGCTTGTCCACAGGATAGTAATTCGAATCTACAGTCAAGGTACCCGATGGATCGCCTCGATGCGCGCTAGTTGTTTTTATTATTTTACTGATAAATTTCAGATCGACATCATCAACAATTGAACTATCTTTATCAAAGTTAAAACTTAAATCGTATGTTATCCTCGACGATGAAAAGAAATCTATATCAACTGATAAGCATACTAATCTAATATGTGCACTTTATCAAATTATACAATAAAATATTCAGATGTTGGTACTCGATGATTATTTGATTGTAAAACTCCGAATTATTATTATGTACCACATGTTATTGTAACATCAACACAAATTTTACATCAACCAATGCATAAAATGAAAGAAAATTGTGTTCTACGTAATGGAAGATTTGGTTCATCATTTGCATTTTGTCGTGTTTCATTACGTGATGAAGATCTTGTAACAATGTCAGCTGAAACAATTAAATAATGTCGAAAAAGAATATTAGATTTAATCGAACAAGATATAACAATAGCCCAAATTGATTATGAATATCTTCATTGTTCTAATTCACAATTACGTGATCGATCATTTTGATTCTATAAACCGAATAATAGTAATACAGTTCAAACAATATGAAATTGGACGGAAAATTTTCGTTATGAATATTCTGTTTCATCATATATTACCCATATGGCATTTTGTTTTACAGATTCAATTAAAACATTTACAATACAAAATTTAACTGAAATTGAAGAAATGCTACATATAAAGACGAGTGATGAACGATATATTTTTATAGATGGAATTGGAAAAATTAGTGAACTGATGATGAGATGAGTTTTTGAAGCATTAGATCTTAATCAAACAAGAGGTTATTTACCATGTACACTTCAGATACGTATGGCACGAATGAAAGGTGTTTTAGTTAGAGCACCAGAACTTAGTATTTTGAATTTTATTAAAGAAAATTCTTTATAATGTTTTTCTTTTAAAGTTCACGTGAAATAACTCAAGTTAGTCGATCACAAATTAAATTTGAATGTAATCATTATTATCTTAAAGTAATTGATGGTTCAAAATCATGTAATTGAACATTAAATCGACAAGTAATAACATTACTTTCATCACTTGGTGTCGAAGATATTGCTTTTTTTTTACACATACAAAATAAAGAACGTCTTCGTGCAACAATGGCATTACTTAAATATCGAAAAGCAATTAGTTTACTAGATAAAGTCAGATTTTTTGAGATTTAAAAAAATTAGTAATTCAGGTAGTATGTTTTATTTTTTCGAACATTTATTTTTTAAATTAACGAAGTTTTTTCAGGTGATATATCTCAAGAATCATTTTTTGGTTCACATTTAATTGCTGCATATTGTGATCGATTACGTTGTTTAAAATAACGTTCAAATGTACCTAAATAAAAAAGTGCATGATTGAGTAATGTCTTAGATTATTGATGAAAGTCGAACACTTCAATATGATGAAGTATTTATTCAATATACATCAAATAGTCAATGAAAATCCAAAATTGGTCTCAGTTATGTTTCTGTTAGAAAAAAAAAACTTGTTTATATCCTGCTAAAATTCCTTTCGTTATTTTGTATTTCATATGATAATCCATTTAGTTGATATTTGTGTATTAAGAGCTGTTGCTGTTTCACATTTACATCATGTACATGATTGTATTGTATTTTTTTACAATGATAAAAATAAAAATTTTTAATCTTTGTAAAAATTTCATCATCTAATTCTAAGGTCATCGTTCACATGCAAATGAAGTATTTGGTTCTGATCTCGATGGTGACGTTTATTGGGTTTGTTAGTTATCAGACACGGTACCAGATCCTAAAAGTCAAATTGAACCATGAAATTATGATACAACTAAAAAAAAACTTGTTGATCATGCTATAATAATGGATGATGTTCAGAAATTTTCAATTAATTATATGGCTGATGATTTTCTTAGAGAATTATTGAATGCATATATAGTATGGACCCATTTATAATGAACAGCAAATCTCCTTTATATTGTATTATGTCATGATATGGCTGATGTTGTTGATTATCCAAAAAGCAGGTGCTAATCCTATTAATGTTGAAAAATGTCGAGAATTAAAAGCTCCATGTTATTCAGATTTTATGGAAAAATAATTACATACGTATTCAAGTCGAAAAGTTCTTGGAAAAAATGTATTGTCAAGTATGTTGTGCATATGATTTGCATGTTCAATTAGAATATTTTGATGAAAAAAAATTCAACTGATATTTATGAAACATTATTAATTGATGATTTTGAATCTTATCTTGCTAATACTGAACATCAATATCATTTATATTCTAATAAATTATAACAAATATTTAATTTATGTAATCATAGTACTCAAACTGTATTAATAACTGGTTGTCAACCATTATTTTTTGATGAAAAACGTTCATATGATACAACTGATGTTAAAGGACAAGATTTTAAACCTTTACATACAAATACAAGACGAATTTTTAAATGAATTTATTTGTTATAATGAAAAACAACAACGTAAACGTGATGTTGATATAACATTTTTATCATCAGATCTTAAAATAGTTCAAAAACAATTACAAAAAGCTTCAGCTTTGTATTATATTGCCTACACTGAAGAAAATGAAGATAATCATGATTATTTAATCAAATCAAAATCATTTACTTGGATAATGTGGAATTTTTTATGCAAAATACGCTTATGTAAACAATGTATTCATCATTTATCATCATCAACAATATTTAAATCATGTAAATCTTATTATACAATAATGGCAAACGTTAAATCGCGTCATGTTTCAAATTATGAAACAGCAAAAACAAATTTATATACATAAATATTTATTAGATCTATGTGAACATTTATTTGGACTAGTTTATTCATTTTAGAATATTCTAGAATTAACTGATACACATGTTCGAGTTATTATTGATTCACTTAATCATTTAGATAAATTAATTTAAATAAACAACAATATTATAGTGCACCATTAAATATTAATTAAATTATTTAACGAAGCAAATAGACTTTATTTGAAATTATTAATGCAACAACCAAGAATTGGAACTGTTTTAGAAGTTGCTATTGATTGGATAGCTACATATCAATGTTTTAAAAGAATTGCTTGAAAAAAGAAATAAAATTCTTGTTTTAAATCTGAAATTTTTTTTTGGAAGAGCTCGTAAAGCTTTATTTAAAGATGTTTCTGTTTATCCTCTACGATCATTTGGATGATGATGATAATCGTCATCAATTTAAAATTATTAATGGTTTATTGGAAGATGATACACAAGACTAAAAAATTTTGTTTTTAATTTTTTTCTCTTAAGATAACTTTTTTATTAAACCACAAGAATAATAATATAAACGAGTAAAAGCATAATCAAAAGTCATATCATTAAATGTTAATGATCGGTTTTTTGAAGCATTAATAAACGATGTTGATTGTTGTATCATATCGAGTTTTTCTTTAAAAACATCAGCACCAATTTCTTTATTTATTAATTGTTTGAGTCGTTCGCTAGAAAAAAAAATCACATCAATTCTTAAAAAATAAGTTTTCTTACTTTGAATATTCTTCTATTGTGTTATTGTTCGAAATTAAACATACACCAAGTACAAATGCATGTAATGACGACATAAGAGCTTCAGGATCATTTTCAATTGATGGATTACGAATTTGAGAAATAAACGTAAAAGAAAATAAATTAAAACAAATTTTTTTACAGCTAATGCAAAATGTAATAACCATGTTGATAAACAAATGAGGACAGCAATACGACTATTAAATGAACTTGAAAGCTATGGATAATCAAAAGAACGAAATGTAAAATTTATTAACAAAAATTTTTTTGTTTAATTCACATTTTTTAATAAATCAATTGTTATTTCTAATAATGTTTTAGCACCGGTTGGTGATTGACCAACTGCTGATATAACATTGAGTATATTTTCTTTTCGTTTTGGATTATCAGCAATTAAATGTGCAAGTAAAATAACAGAACACCATGATGCAATAGCATCTTTACTTGTAGAACCAGTTAATAATAGATGACCTAATGAATATCGATCAGCAGCTAAATAAAATCAAAACAATTTTGTTTCTCTTTTGAAAAAGAAACTATTTAAATATTCTCACCTTCAGGAAAAAATGAGTCAATAATCGTTTTTTTTCCAGAAT